AATGAATACAGCGCTGGAAAGTATCCCATTTTTAACAAAAATTTCCAGAGAAAACATTATTTTCACTTGCATTAACCCCAAAGAGACTAACAAGTGAAAGGAAAAAAATAAAAATAAAATAATGAATAAACAAAATTAGTGATTCAAGATTATAGTCATAAATTACTTCATTTGCACCTTATCCTTTGGCTTTAATATAGGAATATAAGTAACATCCCATGAATATATCTATCCACAACATCATCCAATATCCCAACTATTGCGAAACAGTAGAGAAGAAAGAAATTTTCAGAACACAATCATGCTTAGGTATATTATTAACAACATAAAGGGCTTACATATATTCCTTTCTCAGTGAAAAAACAACATAACAATTCAAGCATTTTTTCAAACACTTTGCATACCATTATTGAACTTTATGAAAAACAAGTAATAGAGACTTAGCATGCCAGCCCATTCAAGTAACATCAAACACAATCATAGCATAGCATCTTGAAGATTACAAATCTAAGAACACTCGGCAGGCCTCATCCATTGATTACGCAATCATGAAATGGGATTACATTGCTATTGATGTTTAGTGAATAAAACTAGAAACAAATTTAAGATATGAATACTTGAATGTACCTTCTTGCTAGTGATAAATCGAAATACTGCACTTAGGGATAAGTTGAACTTTCTTCAATCCTTTTCCCTTTACAAAAAGAATACAGACGAAAAAATAAAAATATCTCCTTCTCATTCTTCTCTGTTTTGGCTTATATTTATCTATTTCGCTCCTCTCTAATCACTTGTTTTCTTTTTCTTTTTTAACTCAAGTCTTCCTTCTTTTTCCTCGTATGCTCTTTTGATTTTGCAATCTGGACCCCACAATGTGATTTTTCCTCTATTCCTTTATACTGTGCTCTTCCTTTTGGGACAGTGACCAAAATGTTACGTTTTGGCAAAAAATTACCAAAATGCCACGCGAACAGTAAAATTTTCCAAACTGCCACACGACATAATTCGTTACACAGTGTAGCGAATTATGTATGCAAGTAATTCGCTACACAGTGTAGCGAAATAAGTCACGTCAGAATGCACAGAACCAAAAAGTGCCATGTGTCAGAATGTTGAAATTCGCTACATAGGGTAGCGAATTTCAACAATTTTGACACGTGACACTTTTTGGTTCTGACGTGACATATTTCGCTACACTGTGTAGCGAATTATTTGCATACATAATTCGCTACACTGTGTAGCGAATTATGCCGCGTGGCAGTTTGAGAAATTTTACTGTTCGCGTGACATTCTGGTAATTTTTTTGCCAAAACGTGACAAAATGGTCACTGTTCCCATCCTTTTTCTTCCTAAAGGCTGGATTTACTTTTAATTCTTGCTTCATCTCTCCGATTTGTTTCTTTTCGTTTCTTTATTTCTTTTTAAGCTTCTTCAATACTTCCCTAAAAACCAGAGTTTCCCCTCTGAATCCTTGTTCCCCTTATATCCCCATATCCTTCTTCAATTTTTTTTTTCAGAAGTTTATATTTGTATTAATGCTTTTACTAATTAGGTGCACTAAAGTTATGTATACTAAATTTATACAATAGTCTCTCTGAAAAATTCTGCACAGCTCATTCCATTTGACGGTTTTTGGTAATTTTATTTATTATTGTTTTTTCATTTCTATATGTTCAACTCAAATGTTTCGTTTCATGTCAGGAGTGATAAAAACCGAACCAATTTAATTAAAACTGAAAAACCTAATAAATAAAATCAAAAACCGGATAAACCAACAACAACAAAAATGAAAAAACCAAAAAATTAATTGAATCGATAAATTTTTAGATCCAAATTTCAAAACCTAGTCGATCTAAAGTAAACCAAAATCTTATATATACTTTTTTGAAATAATATTTTACTTAATAATATTTTGTATTATCCATACTTAGTTATGAACCTTTCTATTATAACTCAAGCCAAGTTTAATTCCCTCTCTTAGGTTTGTACCTATATTATAAGAACAGTAGGATTGATAATTAATATAAAATTGTAGTCAAAATTTATATTTGTATACCGATATATTTATTTAAACTTGTATTTAATGTATCTGATAAATTATTTTACACTTGTATTTGAAATATTTTAATAGAATTAATTTTTTATATCTTGATAAGTTCATATATATATATATATATATATATATATATATATATATATATATATATATATTTTTTATTTATTTTCTGATAAAAAAAACCGATGTAATCCAATCCATGAAGAACATGCTCCCTGTCCCCTCAAACACCATTTTGATGGCCCAGACTTCTGAGCTTGCATGGACAAACTATTCTATTTGTGAATTGTGACAACCTATTATATTCAAGGCCACCTAATTTTCAGATGTTCACCCGTGACCTAACCCAACTACATGAATAACATGGAAGATGGAAGAAAGAAGAAAAGAAAACAGCTCAATCATAAGCAAATAGTGCTTTTTTTTTTCTTCTTCTCTTTTTTCCAGCAAAATTGATTTCCAAACAAGTAGGAAAAACTCCCCCAATAACAAGCTCATACAACTATACAAACAAAAGGGACTTTTTTTTTTTTGATAAACAACAAAAGGGACTTTGGATCTATTTGATTGTGTTCTGATTTTTTTGTTCTTAAAATTATTTTATAGAACAGTTCTGGAAACATGTGTTTTCTGTATTTTTTATTTTTAAAAAAAAATTAAAAGTCAAAACACAAAACAAAAACAACTCAAAAAATTCTCTAAATTTGATTTCTAAAACAAAAAAACAGTTTTAATTTTTTAATTTTTTTTTTTTACAAAACAGACCTTATTAAATGATTTTTTTATTTTTTTGTTCTGAAAATAAAAACCTATTTTTAGAAACAATATTCATACCTTAGTTTTTAAAAGAAAATAAAGGGCCTCTTTTATATATCGATACAACACAAAGCCCACAAAATTAATCGAACCCCTTTTGTTTAGACTTTAGAAGACTGATGAGCAAGGATATGCGCTGATGGCTCTTATGATTGCTAATGGTACGCACTAAATTGAGTAATACAGTTTATTTAACTAATATGTATGATTCACATAGACAAAGACTTAACAGCAAAAATTGAGTTAGGAAGCATCATGGGGTTTTCCAATTTCTTGAAAAGTCATACAATATTAACAAGCAAAAAAAATTCAAAGAAAGAAGAGGAGGAAGAGGAACTATAAAAATGAATGATATAACATAAAAAGATCAAAATAAAATATCACTCAAGTTTGGATGATCCTTACACAGGGAGGCAACCAGGTGAACCTGAAATTATTACACAATGGTAACAAGCAATGCTTCTGATATTGGTGATTCACCATATTAGCCGTAACGTTATAACCTAAATACTAATATTGAAGCACATCCCTCCCCTTCAATTGGATTTCTCAAACCATATTTCTCGACCAACATCTAATTGAATTATTAGTTTTCTTTACTTGTTTCAAGGCTGCTATAAAAAAATGATCTAGTTTGTAAGTTCAAAGCAGATTTCATAGTTTGGCTCCGGTTGTGCACTACAACAATTTAAAATAATTGGAACAAGGCTAGGTGAAGTAACACGAACACAAGTGAATGGCCTAAAGGAGCTTCGTGGATGATTAGTTGATGCCCTGGAACATCAATGGGGCTTGATGCACTTCTTAAGTTTGAGGTGTTACCTAACATGTTACTACATGACTACAGCAAAACATTCATATAAAAGCAAATGCTGCAATCTGGCGAAATATTTTTAGTTGTGAAACACGATTTTAATTCCATTCTTTCCACATGTAAAGAGGGAAGAAAAGGGGTTTTGTAACTAAGTTTCAGAAGGCTCCTCCACAATTCATAAAGAAATAATGTGGTGGAATAAGGAGCATATGCAGACCTGCTCTATCAGCTAACTAGGTCTCTTGGCATGACTCAAATAACATGGAAGAAGTTTGGAGGGGCCAAGGGAAATTGGATTTCAGGGAAGATAGAGTTTATTTCCTAATTCCTACTATATAACCCATAATGTTGGGGGAATACAACATTCCCTTCAATCTAAATGACAATACCATACTCCCTCCATCAGAAGCAAATGTTAATATTAGTGATTGGGAAAAGCATCACAAACAAATTATGCACAATTTAACAACATTCCAACATCCACGGATGAGAAGGGTAAAATCTACTATCAAATACAACTCTAGCTCACAGGCTTCCTTAGAAAACAATCTTTCTCACAGTCTCATTCTCATTCTCATAACCCTTACAATTCCATGATACAACTAACTACCCTTATACAAAACAACGTCTCTGGTTTCTTAATAAAAACAAATCCCTATCCAAACTCGTACACATCTTTTAAATCTCTCACCAATTTTTTACCTATCTTTTACATATCTCACACATATCTACCAGCATAATAAGAAACTATCGGGAACAATCTTTAATGAATTTTTGGTCAAACCCAACACATAATGAAGTAGTTGTTGAAATATATAAAATCATTAATGTAGTCTCACTCAATGGCTTAAGCTTTTGGGTGAATTGGTTCTTTACATGGTCTCAGAGCTTGAGTGACTACAAGGTCACAAGTTCGATCCTCACCGCCTCCCACTTTAAAGTAGAATTAAAACAAAAAGCACAAAAAGATAAACCAAATATTGGGCCTGTGCAATATCCACACTTCAAGTCTTTAGAGCTGTGAGAGGGTGTGTTAGAGATTAATATAAATCATTAAAAAGGCCCTCACCTAACACCTTAAGGTTTTGGGTTGAAGTGGTTCTTTACAGTAGTAAAGAATAAGTAGCAAGATATGGTAACTAAACTGCAACAGCAAGCATGATGGTTTGATATGCCATCAAGAATCACATATTAAATAAAATTCTAAAGTGCAAGAATTGATAAACAAGATTTAAATCAAAGTGGTTCCCAAGCAGGACGTGCAAATATTTTACATAGTTGGTTACAATAAATATACATTATCAGAATCTCCTATAAAAGTATTTTCACATCTTATAGATACACAACAACAACAACAACATCTAACAAAGTAATTCACATCACCTACATTCTAATTTTCATCAATCCCGGTATTCTTGTCAACAGCCACATCAATTCTTTCATACCTGATATCTGCAGGGTGGTCAGGGATTTTAGGAAGAGACTCTTCTTCATGCTTTTGGAAAAAGATCACCCACATAAACAGCACCACAAACGTCACCAACGTAACACACCCAGTGCCGAAAATCACCCTAGCAAGAACTTTCAAGGGACGAAATTTCCCATTCTTCTTAGCATCGTAACCAAGAGGTTCCGCAGGTTGAGAATGCAATGACTTTGAAACATTCCTCAAAGCAAGCTTCCATGAATAGACACTAACAACCTGCACCGACTTGTCATCATTGGAAGAGCTTACCCCAACAAACACAGGTTCACCACCCCAAATCTTAAACAAATCAACGGAATGCGAAATGATTGGATTTGAAGGTCTTGGTTCTCCCATTTTGCTCAACCTAACTTCCAATGTCTTAGAACTAGCCTCATAATCAACCCAAGCATTCATCTTTTTTCCACTGTTGAGAACCAAATTCACAGCTGAAACATTTGCAACAGCCACGGACACGAGGCTTCCAACATCGATGCCCACGTGATTCGCGTTCAGATCACCCACATTGTCATCCTTTGAGGTATCAAACTCAATGGCAAGATATTTGTTCCGTGAAGAAAGCCCGAAGGAACCGTTTCCCGGGAACGAGGCGGCGAAATCGCCGGGAACCAAAACGAGGACGAGGCCGTCACCGCCGTCGGGGGAGACGGAGAAGGAAAATTCGGCGGAGAGGGAGGTGGGGTCCGCAAAAGTTACGGGCTTTTGGCGGAGGAGAAGGCCGGAGCTAGAAGGGGTAGGTCGGGTGAGTTTCACGTGGGACCCACCGTCGGAGACAACAACGTGGGCATCCCCGAAGAGGTCGATGTCGGGGTCGAAATTGGGGAGGGATTTGGTGGAAGAAGGTTGTACGAGTAGAAGGATTAAGGAACAATAAATGAAGAGGGACAATGCAACCATACTTGTAAATTTCGATTTCTAAGGAACAACAACAACAACTCTCTTTATGTCTATGGGGTTAATCCTTAATCCTTATTCCTCTTCGCAAGCTAATGTTACTTGTTTTCTGTTTTTGGTAGCGCACAAAATCTATGCATTTTTTGTTTTGTTTTTTTGCACTGTGGCCTCCGGATGTTGCTGCTAGCTATGCCTACCGCTCGATCAAACATTTGGTAACATGAAGTTATCTCAGAGGATTTTAGTTATGCAAATATAGATTAACTCGATCCTTTATACATTCGTTGTCTCAATACATTATCTTAAATGATTGAGATGTGTGATCTATGTTTTCCATTCACTCAAAATTCAATTGATGACCAGGCAAATTCGTGACGGTGAAAACAAGTTAAGATTTAATTGGACTGATTTAACTAATTGATGATAATATTAGGATGAAGCTTATAATTATAACATCTTTTTATGATTATTGAATCAAAATCAAATTAACAGTTACAAAATAATATCAAATAAAAGTAATTAATTTAATTTTGATACAACAATCATAAAAATAATTGTAAAAAGTTGTAAATAACATCACCCTAATATTATTATTCAATATCTTTTTTATGTTTCGTAATATCTATTTTATATCATTCTATTTGAAATAATTTTTAATACTTGGCTTAATTCATTTATATTTGATTGATAATAAATTGTTATTTTGTTTATATTAATAATATTAATAAAATATATCAAATATAGATTTTATTTTGTTTGCAATATATTTAAGAAAAATATTTATTAAAATTTTAATTTTCAATAATATTGATAAAAAATATTATTTATAAATATTTTTATATTAAAAAATTCAATTAATATGCCAAAACAAATATAATAATATCTAAATTGTGCATCTATTGTACCAAAAAATATGTATCTCATAGCCGCCTCAAAGAGTCGAAGCTCGTGGGGATACCGGAGGGAGCCAACTCGTCTCAAAGAGATAATTAGGGTTGGGTAACTCCAAAAAAAAAAAAAAAAAAAAAATATGTATCTATAGTCAAACTTCAAAATAAACTAATTGTATATATATTTATAAACTAATAAAATTATATAGTCATTAAATTTTAAATATAACTCTTAATTGTATTTTATGATAAGTATATCTAAAATTTTAATCAAAATATTATTTTTGAATATTTTTACTTATAAAGTGTTCATTAGACAAAATAAATTAATTTAAATATACATTAAATAAATTTTTTTGATACATACATTAAATATTTATTATTAAATAAAAAATTCACAATAATTTAAATATACATCTTTTATTGAATTTAATTAAGCTGTGTAATGCGCGAGTAAGTTAATTAGATATATTTATTATTGTTTGATGCAAGAAAAATGTGAACTCATATATTTTGCCAAAAGAAAATAAGGATCCGTTGAAAATATCATTTTCGTTGTTAGCACAAAACTCGGTTGATCTTATTCATAAGCTAGCTAGTTTTTTCTTCAACAATATTTTTTCTTGTGATCTTATTGTAATAACAATAATTGCATTCAGAGCTGGCTTCCAATGGATCTTAAGGAGCGTTTGCTGTGCAAACAGAAACTGATGAATTTTTCAAAGCGGGAACAGGCTCATCTTAATTATAGAAACATTTATTATTTTGTGTCGGTGCGTATGCGTGCAAACGCGTTGGATTTGGGCATATGCTTCTCGGAGTTTTTCCTTATAGTCTTTGGAAGAGTGACTAAAATGTCACTGTTCATCAAATTTTTTATCTAAATGCTACACGAACCAGTGTTATTTTTTAATCTGCCACGGGGCAAGTTTGCTATCCGGTATAGCGAACTCGATTGTCTGACGTGCCACATTTCTAGTGGACACAAAGTTCGGTACAAGGGGTAGCGAACTCCATACTTATTTATTTTATTTTATTTTAATTTGGTACTTGTTATCCAGTAGAAATGTGACACGTCAGCAAACCGAGTTCGCTACACCGGGTAGCAAACTTGCCCCCGTGACAGATTAAAAAATAACACTGTTCACGTGACAGTTAGGTAAAAAACTTGGTGAAGAGTGACATTTTGGTTGGTGTTCCTAGTATTTTGCATTTGTTCAACTATACAAAATTGTGTGGAATTCAACCAACCGGATATTCTAAAATTCCATCGGCAAACATCAACCTAGACCAATTGATGTTATATTGTCAAATACAACCTTAAGCATATAAATTATTTATAAAAAAACCTATTTATCAACTTGTAGTTTTTTTTTTTTAAAGATATAAATCTATATTAGAAGTCTTAAAGGGTCCGATTGATCTAATTTTGGATTTGAGTTTTTTTATCTTTTTCAGAAATTGCAACTCTAAATAACTTTTAAATACACAAAACTTAAAAGTAATGTTATCAAATTCACTTTTATCAAAAAATAATAATAAGGTATATACTAATTGCAATTTTATTAATTTGTCGGATTAATTGATGCAAATTAGGGCGCGACATTAAAGAATATGGTCCAAGTCCCAATTGGTCCAGATAGTAGAGCCCGATCAAATAATTTTAAGGAAACATTCAATAGGTTGATTCAATCCATTAAGCATCACCTACGTTTTCAAGAATATGACTTCAGAAAATTCGACGATATAAGAATTGGATGTGTCTTGAACATGAGCTTAACGAATGATAGATTTTATTTAATTGTAATTAATTATTTTATCTTTATATTTAGAAACTTTTTTTACTTTTAGAAAATTGTTATCTTTATTTTTAATTTTAGAATTTTTAATTGGGAAAAATATTTCTGCAGTTACTGCAGATAAGTTATCTGTATTTATTTTCAAAACGACGTCGTTTTTTGGTATTGAAATCTTAAAAAATTATAAATATAAAGACTATTACAATCCTGAAATAAATTAAAATTATAAAACACCATAATTTCTTCTCAAAACGACATTTACTACAGATAACTTAACTTAACTTATTTGTAGTGACTGCAGAAAAAAGCAAACCCTTTTAAATTTTGATTGATTTGTAATTGGCCTATAAAAGAAGATTAAAGACCTCCATTTCTATTATTTTGATAAAAAGATGATTTAGATCTATAGGGTCGTTGGCTTTCTAAAATGGATGAACAAAATCGTGAAGGTTGTGGAAAATATGGTTATAGTGCTAGAAGACGTAGAATCAGTCTCAAAACAACCGCATCAAAGATATCTGCATGAAATAGAAAATGAAGGGTAGAAAAGGCGGCTTTAGGATTTGAAACAGTTTGGGTGCTCAATTGAAAGAATGAGCGGAGTCGAAGGACATATTTGATGATGAAGAATGTGATGTCAATTCTTTTAGGCTGGAGTTGGTTTTAGGAGAGGAAGGAAATGAAAGAGAGAGTTTTAGTAAGGTCTTTTCTTGTTTGTGAGTTTAAAAAAAGGAGGGGAAGAATTTGAGAATTTTTACTAAACTCTCAAAAACCCTCATTCTTCTTAAAATTAAAGTTCTCCTAATTTGGAGGGTTGAAGGAAAAAAATATTGAAAATTACTTATCTACCCTTAGCATTAAAATGTTAAAACTACATAATTGTAAATTATTTTTAAACGCGATATTATTAGAAAAGTCTCAGATATCGACAGAATTTATTGACAAAAAATATTTCGTCAAAAATAGTGATGAAATTTTTGATGAAAATCATATACGTCAAATTTTTTTCGTCAAAACTAAAGACAAAATTAGAGACGAAACCAGATTTTGCCATAATCACTAACATAAATTTTGTACGAAAAAAAAAAAATCAGTCAAAATTATTAATATAATCTAAATTTCGTCGAAACTTTTAACGAAAATATTTCCGTCCAAAATTTTGGTGAAACACATTTCCATCAAAAAGTTTCGACATAAAACAATTACGTCAAATTTTTTTACGAAAAATAGTTTCATCAAAATTTATGACTAAAAATATTTTTGTAAAAAATTTTGACGAAATTTTTTTTTTGTCAAAATTCTTTACAGAATCTATATTTTGCCAAAATATTTCACAAAAAACATTAATCAAAATTTTTGACGAAAAATATTTCTATCAAAATTTTCAACGAAACACATTTCTATCGAAAATTGTTGACGAAAAAAAATTCCATCAAAATTCATAACAAAATTTAAATTCTATCGAAAATTGTTTGGCAAAAAAAATTTCTGTTGAAAATTTTAACGAAACACATTTTTATTGAAAATTTTCGACGGAAAATATTTTTGTCAAGTTTTTTGATAAAAAATATTTCCATCAAAATTTTTGAAGAAAAATATTTTGACAAAAAATTTTAACGGAAAAAATATTCCGTCAAAATTCTTTAAAGAATCTAAATTTCGTCGAAAGTTTCATTCGAAACATTTCCCTCAAAATTTCTAACAAAACAATTTCTGTCGAAATTTTTGTTAGAACATATTTCCATTGAAACATTATTGACATAATTCTTTTTTCGTTTAAAACATTTGATGGAAACTAAATTTCAAAAATTTAGTTTTAAAAAAATTTTCATCGGTTGAAAAATTCCGTTGCTTTTTGACGAAAAGTATTCCGATGAAAATAATAATTTTGTGATGAAATTTTCATCGTTTGCAACGTAAAAATTTCATCTAAACTATGATCTTTTCTGGTGTTGTGAAAAGTACATACATAATTTTGTTAGAAATTTTAAATTTAATTTAATTTGTAATATATAATAATTATATTAATTTTAAAAAAGAGAGTAAAATGATAAAAATATCTCATTAACCCTCAATTTTCTTTTTTTGCCATTTTTTTAACTCCCAAACAAAGGAAGCGAATATCCTTCAATTTCCTTCCCTTCCTTCCCCTCCCTCCTCCCTCCTCCCTTGGATCTCCTTCCTTCCCCTCCCCTCCAAACTCCCAAACAAAGCCTTAGGATTTGGAAAATACAATTGAAAAATTGACCTCTTTTCAAAAGAGGTTCCATTTTTTACCATCAGGCATGTCCTTCAACACTTCAGCGTAGCGTATGATATACTTAAAATAATTCAATTT